CACCAAATTTTTTGGAATCGACCCGACTTAAGAGAATACCGATGTTGGACGTTAATGTTTTTCTGTGTTGACAGATGATAACAAGTAAAAAACTGAATTAGGAACGTGCAATGAAAAAGGTTAAAAACCGAACGGAAAATATTGCATACAACTCTCAAGTGATTCATAAGTGGCTAGTGGCGCACTTAAGTGCCTCATTTTTATTCTATTTTTTGTATACCAGGTCACGCACTTTCCGAAGGTATGAAATTATTATTATTTCATTTCGCGTAATTTTATGGTATTAAGTGGGATTGATGGATATTTTTCATCGCGCGTGGTTCGATGCTGACAACGGAAAGCTCTACCCTCCGAGTGCACGCGTCATTGCTACTACATTTACATTTTCCTGAGTTGAGATAAAAAACTTTTAAGACAGTACAAAATTAATATACCCTACACAAACACAAAAGAAAATCAATCATCCATTGAGTTTCAATAAAGTGAGACCAATTCTTTACTTTCCAGAGATTTTTTAAATATTCAAACGTTTACAATTATATATTTTTTCTTATATATATAAGATATATATATATTTTGTGTATATTATATCTATATATCTTATATATATCTTATATATATAGATATATCTTATATATATCTTGTGTATATTATATCTATATATCTTATATATATATAGAATCTTTCTTGATTTTTAGGAGACAAGTGAAAAATTATATATACTTTATATTTATATGCTTCAGAACTCTTAAACTACCTGAATTCTAATAAAATCAAATCAGGTATCAGCTATATATCTTATATATACATATAAGATTTTTTTTGGTTTTTAGGAGACACCAAGAAAAATCTTGGTATTTCTATATGTTTCAAAAATCTCAAATTATCTGAATTCTGATAAAATCTGATCAGGCATCAGATGTGCTTTTCATAAAAAGAGCGATATGGATATAAATTTCAAAGCCATCCATTAAATCTTTAAATTGTATTAATATAGAGGTTTCGTGTATTAGTGAATCACAACAGCAAAAATTATTTTTATATTATTTTCATTAATTGAATTTTTGGCTGACCATATAGCCGTTTCGAGTATTGCCAAATACTCATCATCAGTGGTCTTGCAATTATTTCTTATATATATATATTCGTAATTAATAATAATAATATTATTTATGTGCAATCTTGACCATTTATTTTGTCGGTTTTTTGTTATAACTTACAACCTAAGTCGATTCTTAAAGTGTGTAGAACGAACTTCTAATAGATGGTCCATAGCTGCTAGAATCCGAAAATCATCAAGTAGATATATTATTTTATAATTTTAAAGGATAACACATGTTATTGTGCTCAAGTTAACAATGTTAAATTTATGTTTTAGCTGATGTCTCTAAAATCGATTATGTATATGGGTCATAAATAATCCGGTTTCTGCGGTTTCAATGAAATTATAAACTTTATTTTTTTTAAAATACATAATTCCGAGTTAGAGAAAAGTAGTTATTTCATATAAGTTGATACCTTTAAAATCGACTATACATATAGGTCATTATTTTATAGACGGAATTTACTTCTTTACCTCCGACGTGGCTAAAATTTTTTTTCGGACTCCTGTAATAAAATAAAAATATTCGTATTTCAAAAAAAAAAAACATGAAACTTCTTTCATTGATGTTTTTTTAAAAATTTTTAAAATGAACACTCTTGTATTTCGGAAAATTTATATTAATTATTTTAATATTTAATATTTTTAAAAATTTAATAAATACACAGAAATGACCCATATTATAGAATTTTGAGAATTTATATTTTGGGCTAGTTTGTAAATGGCAATATCTCAGGCTTAGTAAGTGGTAGAGACTTGAAATTTAAGTTTCTAATAAAAATAATTGATTAAATTTTAATTGATTATATTCAATTGGCCTATAGACCTCAGTGGATCCCTTAAGATCGCTGGTATAACCAAACCTAATTGAATATATGATGGTTCTCTTTGACAAAGCTTGACTGACACTTTTGTTGAGTTGTCACAACTTTTGACTAAAATAATAATTTTACTCCTGATACAAAAGTAAGGAAACGAATCAAAGAAAACACAAAAGAGAGAAAAATTGTCTAGTAAAACCAAAATTATGGTTTAAAACATCCACTAATGGATTTTCTGCACCAAATGTGGAAGAAGAGGTGAAAAGCGGAGAATCTAATAAAACCTTCTCAAATATTTTATGATTGCCACTTTTTCGTATAACTTCTCACAAATTATGACAAATGTGAAAATGTCAAGATGATCAGTGATTCGGCAATAATAATCTTCTTTTTTTTTTTTTTTTTAAAATGGTATCTAATGTTAAACAAAATTAAACCAAAATTTTAATATATATTTTGTTCCTGAAAATATATATAGAGTTTATATTAATAATATTAGTATATAGAATTGAATTTTATAGTTAGCAGAAATCATAAGCAATTAATGAGATCCAATGCTTTGCATATGTTAGGGTACAGAATGGTAACCCCATACCGGAAAAAAAACACTGTACATACATAAAATATCTCTTATAGCGCTTTGAAAATGTTTGTAACTATAAGAAGGTTTTTTCAAACCTATGACATTGTGCGAGACTTCAGATAATGTAACCCTTTATTAAATAATACCCACAAATGTACTTAGATAGAGTACGAGTATATGCTGACGATATCAATATAATTGGGTACACAGTGCTGACTGATAAAATTTACAAACTCACTTGTACTTGATTTCAAAGTTTTGCGATGTTGACAGTACAATGGACCTTGATCGTCTGCTTGTTGTGTTAGATTAGTTAAGGTTATACCCACGATTCGTATGATCCATTTCTGCTTTATGGTCCATTGTTTAACTGTATTAGAACTAAGGACTTTAATAACCATATTGAAATTATTGTGCTCTTTCTACAAATCTTTTCCAATCAAGGTGGTTTTAGTGAATTATGACGCTTTCCATCAACGAAAAAGAAAATTTTTGCGATAAAGCAGAAAGATGACATAGAAAGCTTCTTAATCCACTATGAAGTAGCATCTTCATCTTTCTGTAGGCTGTACTGTATAGGGTATGACATGAGGATGGAAGATAATGCTACAACGAAAAGGGTGGTTTCTGACTTCAATTCAGCCACTATTATCAACAACCTAGTAGAGAGATTATGCTTTCGTTTGGCATAGAAAAAACGTAAAGTAGTGAGCTAACCTTGTTACAGATTCCTTGTATCCCTAAATTTTATTTGGTAGTTATTCATATAAATATTTGCAATTCCAAAAATACCACTCAGATCTGACCATAGCATATCTGGGGTCTGAGTATAATGAATTCAGATAACTCAATTTAATATAGTTATTCATTCAAAAAAAAAAAAAGTGCTTGTGTATTAAAAAATGAAAATGATTAAAATTGATAAATTCCGGGCGGTTCGTGGGAACACATGTATCAAAATTGTGTTCTATTTGTTTTTATTTAAAATTTTCATATTCATTTCGGAGCGGTTAAGTTGACCTGTTTCCGATGTATATTTATTCATTCACACAATTTACATTTTTAGGCCCAATGGGTATTTAGAAATGAATTTGCTATTTTCCTTCGCAGCCGATATTGTCATACCCATTCATACCCATTATTTCAGCCCGTCCATTTGCATTCTAAGCGCTTCGTGTTGTTTCAGTTTTACTTCTTAGTGAAATGTCGGTACATTTAGTATTCCATTTCTGTGTATTTATACTTCAATGTATATTGTATATTTAAAGGAATTTGCATTTCGTGGGTATCCTTTTATCGAGATATTTTAATTTTTCATCTTTTTCGTTTGTTTATGCAATTTTATTTATTATATTTGAAATTTATGCGATGTACATGTAATCATTTAAAAGATAAATTGCCACTTTATGCCGGCTCGAAGGGTGAAGGGCGAAGGGTGAAAGGCGAAATTACTGATATACAATATTCGTGTGTAATAGGAAAGATTTGTTGCGGTGTTTATTTGGATTGATATTTATTTAAAAGTTTATTACATTTTTGAATTTTTTTTAAATTAATGATATCAGATATTGCAAGAAAGTGAGTATATATAGTATATTACTTAATTGTCATCAGGTAATTGTCATTAGGTAATACTTATGAACCGATTAGTTAGCAGTCTTCTATTAAAACCATCAGTCCCCGTAAAATTCAAGTTGAGGTTTTAAAAGATGTTAACAGTACAACAGATTATGCTTCAGTAGATTATGATTTGACGGTTACAGCTACAACCTTTACTTGTTAATCAGGATGCACGTCAATTAATTGACACTTGGAAAACCTGGCAATCTATTTAACTTTTATTGTGAAAAACCGGCTTGGAGAGATCTATAACGACAAATCTTTACTTTGTCGCTTGAATTCTTCTAATCGGTGCTAGAGAATTGTTGGGATGAGCAGTTAAAATAGAAGGAGCAATGTGAACAAGAGGTAAATATTGTACTAAACGAGTTAACGTCGAAAAAATGTATATTAGTATAGAGCTATGGACAGTGTTCTGATATAACACACTGAAGACGGATTTACTGTATAGACATAAATAATGAAGTTCTGTTATTTAAAATCAGTTTAAGAGAGAGGAACAATTTCCATAAGAGGTAAAAATTATATAAAACGCGAAAATGTCAAAAAAATATATATATATAAAATTTTTTGAAATTAGATATAACTGTTTTGTACTAGTAGAGACCTGTGGACAGTGCTCTGATATAATATACTAAAAATAGGTTTACTGTATAAAAGTGTTAGTATCGGGTTCTACTACTTAAAAGTTGTCCAAGAAAATAGGATAAATTACAATAAGGGGTAATTGAAAGAGTTTTGAAATTAAATGTAATAGTTTCAGTAAAAAGTAGATAAACTAGTAGAAAGAATAAACCTTAGTTGGCAATGACATTTTTATTTTTTAACTTCAACCAAAACATAAAATTAAATTATTGTAGTAAGAAATAAATTAATCTTCAAATCAAATCGGTTGAGGGAATCAATTTTGAGCTTTTATATACAAAGCTGGAGTAATTTGGACAAATTTTAAAACCTAGTGGCCTTTTTAATGAAAATCATCGCAAGTCACTTCGATTAGATTTAGATTTTGCTTAGTGAAAAGAAATTTGTTAAAATTACCATTTAATTTACAGGTATATTGATATACACTCACATAAATGACTATTTTTATAAGTAAATTAAGATATGTGGATACCCATTCTATAATTTTACTTAAACATTTTTAATTTTCAATTAAACGTCAAAAAAATATATATATAATTTTTTGATATTAAATATTACTGTTTTGTACTAGTAGAGACCTATGGACAGGACTCTAATATAATATACTGAAAACAGGTTTAGGATATAAAAAGGAGGAGTCCCAGAGAAGGTAAAATATTGTATTACATGAGTAAATGTCAAAAAAAAATATATATAAAATTTTTTGGAATTAGATATAACTGTTTTGTACTAGTCAAGACCTGTGAAAAGTGTTCCGACATAATATACTGAACTTGGGTTCATGGTATAAACTTATATATATCCGCGTAGATATATCTACTATCTAAAAGTTGACTTAGAGAAAGAGAGGAATCTGAAAAAGAGGTAAATATTGAATTACATCAGTAAATATCAAAAAAAAATATATATAAAATTTTTTGGAATTAGATATAACTGTTTTGTACTAGTCAAGACCCGTGAAAAGTGTTCCGACATAATATACTGAACTTGGGTTCATGGTATAAACTTATATATATCCGCGTAGATATATCTACTATCTAAAAGTTGACTTAGAGAAAGAGAGGAATCTGAAAAAGAGGTAAATATTGAATTACATCAGTAAATATCAAAAAAAAATATATATAAAATTTTTTGGAATTAGATATAACTGTTTTGTACTAGTCAAGACCTGTAAAAAGTGTTCCGACATAATACACTGAACTTGGGTTCATGGTATAAACTTATATATATCCGCGTAGATATATCTACTATCTAAAAGTTGACTTAGAGAAAGAGAGGAATCTGAAAAAGAGGTAAATATTGTATTACATCAGTAAATATCAAAAAAATATATATATAAAATTTTTTGAAATTAGATATAACTATTGTGGACAGTTTTCTGTCATAATATACTGAATTTGAGTTCATGGTATAAACTTATATATATCCGCGTAGATATATTTACTATCTAAAAGTTGACTTAGAGAAAGAGAGGAATCTGAAAAAGAGGTAAATATTGTATTACATCAGTAAATATCAAAAAAATATATATATAAAATTTTTTGAAATTAGATATAACTATTGTGTAATAGAAGACCCCTGTGGACATTTTAGTGACATAATATACTGAATTTGAGTTCATGGTATAAACTTAAATATATCCGCGTAGATATATCTACTATCTAAAAGTTGACTTAGAGAAAGAGAGGAATCTGAAAAAGAAGTAAATATTGTATTACATCAGTAAATATCAAAAAAATATATATATAAAATTTTTTAGAATTAGATATAACTGGTTCATGGTATAAACTTATAAATATCCGCGTTGAACTATCTAAAAGTTGCCATAAAGGAAGTTCAAAAAGAGGTAAATATTAAGTAATATATTACACAAACTTTCATACACCTGACGATCTATTATATATTAAATATAAATGGCATTAATTGAAGCTATTATGTAAACTCGATCTTAAGAAATTCGACACTTATGAGCAATGCGCTTCCCACGCTGTTCATTTGCTAACAAAGCCAATAAAATTGTCCACTTTTCTGCTCCAGGACAGCACTTTTTTGGTTATTTATTTCTAAGAAAAATAAGTACCTAAAGCGTCTGCAGCCAATTTAAATTAGTGTTTAAAAAAATGTTGCCGCCCTAGAGAGGTATCCATATATCATAGGTTAACTTTTAAATATATAAATCTATTTAATTATAATTTCATTTGAATATATAATTTCTGTAATATTCAGCTGTATAATTCCCGTCTAACTCCAGCCTCTGAATGCTACATACTGTTCATAGTCTAGTTATATACTACATTTATAAGTTACCATTTATTTCCATAACAAATAACGCAACTTTATTAAACTCGGAATTTTCAAATATCACCTTTGAGGTGATAAAAATGTATTCGACAGTTATCATTTAATTTGAAGCAATCAGATATAATATAAATACTTCTCAGAATTCAAATATGCACAGTTAATTTCCAATATCTTAGCAACGAATATTCCAAAGATGGCTACACCGAACAAGTCCAAGTCAGTATCTTGGATTCAGTTTCTTTAGATACTGCCTGAACTTGTTGTATGAGACTTAATCAGATTCTACTCTTCTTTTTTTAGCTCTCTCTGTGTTATTAATTTGTGTTAGAAATAAGCGTTATTGTGTGAGTTCCTTTCTCTCTGAAAGGAACTTTCTAGTGAAAGTGTGGCAATACCTTTTTCTCGTTTTCCCTTATTTATTGTGGTACTAAAATAAAACATTTATCTTTGAATTCTTATGTATTTGTAAATTTTTACTTCTTGATTAATTTTTTTGCTTCTTATGTCCATCAATACAAACATGAGTGTGTATTATTGTAGTAAGAAAAACATTTTTCAATTTAATAATTGATATTTTTTGTTCCGAATATTGTAAGTTTATATATATTTTAATAAATTTGGAGGAAATTTAAAAACTAATTAAATTTTTCTACAACAATTTTGTTCTTTTAGTATAAATTATGCAGAACACATCTATTATTATGGAAAAAGTCCCTGATAGTTTATTCCAAGGCCGTCAGGATGGACAACAGGATGGTGCACTTGAAATAGATGCAGACCTTGTAGACTATAAACAACCAAGCGCATTTCGTATGAAGACGTTTATGGCTGTACTTGCGATCGTTTTCAGTGTTTTAGTGTGTTGTTTCCTAACATCCATGGTTTACGTCAGGTTTGGTCACAAGCAAAAAGTTCTTCATTATCGTGCACTTTGTGCTGTGCCAAAGCTATACGATGACAATCAGGCTATACCGTACCTACTTATACAAACACATGACTTAGAATATAGCTGGAGATCGTTAATAGCGCCAAAAATGATAGAACGATTAGATAATAATTTTCCATATGAGCTTTTTTTGCGTGAAGTAATTGAATTCAATGAGACATCCGGTGGAAAAGTTTCCACAGCCATTTATGTGGTTGATAATACGAATAGTTTCTCAAGTAAAGTGATTCACAGTTTTAACAGGAATCAAACCGCAATTGTAGATTTATATAAAAATCGCTGCTTTATTATGAAACTTAACGCCAATTTTACCATGGATGCCAATGAATTATTATCGAAGATGCAGCGGATGGAATATATTTATTCTTTACCACAGGGCGGACGATTATTACCAAAACAAATTATTCTACCAGCTGTTGCTGATCTATCTTTCGCTGATAAGCAAATTATAAGGGATTGTCATGACAAGTATTCCTACATACTAACTGACTATCTATCCGAAGGTAAAAAAGCTTTAAACTTTATATATAATTTGAGAATTATTCTTATTCGTGTTTTTTTATTTGTAGATGAAAACCCAATTGATGAGTTGATTACCGAAGATACCTGTTTTTACGAATTTTTCGGTCGAGGTATTACCGAATATTGTCTGGTCAATATTGACGAAATTTCATTATATGAAAACCAATTAGAAACGTCTGATATAGAAAGTCCATAGTTTAACATGTACTCAAATATTTTTGTTATCTAAATTTTGTGATATATTTTGGATCATCGTTAATTAAATTATAGTTTTTGTCTTAAGTTAATCATTTGATTTTCATTTAAGATAGTGATTCCAATATAGGTTTCTTTTTTACTTTTGACATTGTTCTGACGATTGTTTTGGTGTTTTTTTTTTTTTTTAAAACCGAAATATGATACGCGGAATGGTTTCAAGTTTTTACTGGTGACTTTAACTTAATGTTGGAAACTTTAATTCGATCAGCATTGGCACAATATTCTACAAAAGTTGCGTATGTCGATGATATTGATATTATTGGCCTGAACTATCGTGCCGTCAGTGCGGCGATTGTCTTCCAACCTAGAAAAACAACCGAATCAAATGGGTCTTGTGATAAATGGGGACAAATTCTCTAAATGTCAAATATTTTATGCAGGGGTTTAGGAGTACCAGTCAAACCAATTGTAATATTCTAAATCGTATTGGTCACTTATCGTTCCAACTGAAATTCAAAACGCTCGAAATGCAGACACGTAGTCCAGTAAATGCATTCATTTACGTTTGTGTTCGTACGTATGTTCGAAATGAAATACTAATTAATTTGGAACGAAATTACAACACATCAACAACATATTATACATTAATCCATGGATTATGTGTAGTTGCACTTAAATTTAGGACACGCCAAAATGACTACAGAAACGACTAAAATTTAATGTGTTTCAATAAAACGTTAAATTCTGAATCGAGATACATACCGAGCCATCGAATCTTAAATATAAAATTTTGTACGTTTTAATTTTATTTCGAACTCGTTTGGAATATCAACGCAAATAATAATTACATGATTATATAGGGCGGGTAGGAAGGGGCATGGATGAGGGGGGTGTTTAAATAGTTTTAAAATTGTTTGCTTCAAAATTTTGCCACTTTATTAGTAATTTAAATTAAATTGTTTTTTAATGTTTATTCTGGTGTGGAGCCCGTTTGTGCGTTTCTGCGTTTATGCGTTTCTACGTTTGTGCGTTTGTGCGTTTCTACGTTTGTGCGTTTGAGTTCGCATTAAAGAGCTGAACTTGGCGAATTCAAATGAAAGAGAATTTTTAATTTATTGTCTTGAATGCTTTAAATGCTTGTGCCTACTTATTAGATAAATTCGAGTCCTTTGGGAGGCTATTGCAGGTTTATAGAGCATTTATCACAAATTACTCTGCTTTCGTTACTACAGTTCAACAAGTAAACTTTTCGTGTTGGGGTAATTTTAAATAATATTCCAGTCTTTAATTATATCCCCAAACACAAACAAGCAGTGAATGGCAAAACTTTTTCTTTGGAGACGGCTAAAGCGAACATGAAGGAAGATATGCCTCCTCAACTCCAGCTAATTGTGGATTGGCTTGAATGAAGTATTTATTGAAAATAGCTAAATTTTGCCTTTGTTGTTTTCACTAATGTTGTAGAAATAAATTAACTGTATACTTTTTTTTTTAATTGTTTCAATTGAATTAATTTGCATTCTGTCAATGATAGCTATCAACAACTTAAGGTATTCGTGCCTCATCAAATTCATAGCATCAAAAGTCTATACTCAAATATATTCACTACATTCACTGTTTTTATTTAATACTTTTTTTGGCTTTAATTATGTGCAATTAGGACTTCTATATTTCATTAAATAAGTATAAGAAATTATTCTCATTTAATCTGTCCAGTATATTACATTACACTTATTTAAGTTAATTCTTCACTGAAGTCATCGTCAAGCCATAAAAAATCTTATCCATATATCTTCCATTTTAATTGAAAAACACATATAAGAAAGAATGTTTAGCAAATAACTAAATATTTTGTCTAAATCCGTTAAGAAATAAGTTATCACCGATTTATTGTAAATAAAGGCGGTGAGATAGGAAGTAACTTCCTGGTTTTTTTAATATATTTCATATGTATATTAATAATTTATTATAAGATCCTTCAGTCGTTTGCGGGTGTGGTGAACACTCGAATTCCAACTTCGAAGTATCCTTCAATTGCATATATATATATATATATATATATATATATAAATATATATATAAAATACGTAAATTTGATGTAAAAATTTTAATGGCTCAACTAAGCACTACAGCGAGGCAATTATAAATTGGTAACTGCCCCAACTTATATTTCACAATATTGGATAATTATCCCTTAAAGAAAAATATGAACAAAACAACTTCATTTTTCAATTATAAAAACATTTTTATATTAAATTTAAATTCAATTATTGTCACAAAACTGTTTTGTTTATATAAATTCTCAACGATTTTATAAAAATAGTGTTTTAAGAAGGCACATTCCTGTTATGAAGTGGCACATTCTTGCTCTCTTTTAAAACGATTTTAAAAAGTGCTGGTGGAAACCATCGCATTTTAAACTCATAAAAGTTTTATTGGAACTACGTTTTACAAGATAGTTTTATAAGAATCATTATAAATAAATAAAATAATTAAAAAATTGCTTATTATATAAATTTGTAATGAAGTGACATTCTCTTTTCAAATTGCTTTGTTTTTGATATCATTTAGTAAGGTTAATTAATTTTAAGTACATACTAAGGAGCTGTTCATACATATATATATATATTTGTATATTTACATATCTTGAATCGCTTTTAATCAGCTTTCGACTTTCATGTGATAGTAATAGTTTCTGTGTCCAATTACCTCTACTTAATTTAAAGGTTAATTTCGTATTTTTTAGGTGTTATTCTCTTTAAAGTGTTCTAAATGGCAAATCTTTAGAAATTATATTTTTAATTTTGCTTTAAAACAATAATTTTTTTTTTAAATCTAATCCTCTCTTATTGAATCCTGTACTAATACCATAAATTCTGTTGACTATCGACTAATAAAGTGTTTAATAATTAACCTATTATAGTAAGAATAGATTTTGTTATAACATTACATTAATTTTGTTTGAGAAATCAGACTACTACAAAAATTACTTTCAAGTTAGTTACTAATGTAATTAAGTTAGAGAAAATTTCCTTATTAGAAGAAAAAATTTTCTTATTAGAAGGAAAGAAAGAAGTTTCATTATAAAGAAAGAAGTTTCATTGATATTTTCTTTTGTAACGAAAAAAAGGAATATCTTATGTCTATAAGGTATTCTTATGAATGCTCATATCGTTTCGAGCAAAATTTATAATCGTATACCTTTTGAACTTTTGACTTTACCATTAAAAAAATATATAATAATTGGTTTTATTATATAAGAAACCTACTTCCTTTCTAAGCAAAACCTAATTAATTGTGATTGTTCTAACTAATGATACTCAAATAACTATCATGTCAACTCTTTTATTTTTCAAAAAAAAAGGAAGCTGCCGAAAGGCGGAAAAAAAGGATGAATGAGGATGAATGAAACGTTTTGAGTATGTGAAAGTAGTGCGATACTAGAAGAAAAAATTAATAATAAATAAGGAACGTGATTAAATATGTACATATATACATAAATACACAAATGCCTGTTCAAAAAAGTGCAAATATATAATATATTTTAGCAAAAAAAAAAAAAAAAAATTGCAATGTCTTCTTGCATCGTTGAACTCGATTCCTGGTGATTGATGGTTGGACATGTTAATTAGGCTCACTCGTGTCGTTTTTCAACGTCATGCTTAGCCGCAGGATACGAAAAAATGATACGGATAATAAAAAGGAGAAAATGTTATTGATTAGCTTTGAATAAGATTATTAATCAGATACTTTATTTGATTACTTGTAAGAGTGTTAATATTAAAAGAAATGGCAATAAATGGTAATTAATTACGTTAAATTTTGTTGCATTGTGATTTGGGAATATATATTCTTTCCAAACATGAGTTTAATACACAAACTTTTATTATCTCTCTTGTCCTAATAATATAAAAGATAATTATTTATTTATAATTTGAATCAAGTTGCTTCACAATAAAAAATTGTAGTATGGATCATAAGAGTACCTATAAGTCGGCTGTAAAAATCAATTAATATACCTATACCATATAAATAAAGCAATATATGAGTATATTATAAATAAAACTAGATAAGAGTTGAATTCAACTCAAGATATTCAGATATTTTTACTGTTTATATACGCTTAAGATTATAATTAGTTCAATATATTCTCTATATAAGTAGTACACAGTTTTTTAATGCCGAGAGTTTTAAAGAAGTATATTGAAAAGAGGAGTTTATAAGATTTTATAAGGAGATTTTATGTTGAAGACAACAGGATTTGATAACATTTTATAGGATTAGAGTAGAGCAATTTAAAGACAATAGGAATGAATCAGATTTTATGGGATTACAATAGAGCCTTTTAAGAGCAACCGGAAGGAAAAAGATTTTATGGTATTACAGAAGGGGAATATAAAGACAAGAGTAGTGGGTAAGATTTTATGGGATTACAGTGAAGCTTTTTAAGAGCAACAGTAGTGGATAAGATTTTATGCTATTACAATAGAGCCTTTTAAGAGTAACAGGACTGGTTAATTATGTTACAATAGATTTATTTAACAATTATGTTAATCTCTCTAAATGAAAACTGAAAATAAAAATATTAATAAATTAATTTTTATTGTACTTTTTTGTTGTTTGTATTTTTATTTAATTATTTAATTTTTTTAAAAAATTATACTAATTTTTATTGAGTTTAATACTTCGATTTTAATCTACAATTATTCTTAGGACATCAATACAATATAATAATAACTAATATAGCAAATATTAAGCAATTAACACACTATAATATAATAATAATTTAAATCTAAATTATATAAATAAAATCTAAATAATTTAAATTTAAATTAATTAAATAATTAAATAAGGTCACATCTTATTCAAAAATTTGAATTTATAAAATTTGAAATTAAATATTTTATATCTTATATCTTTTTTTTAAGGAGAGGAGTGGATAAGATTTTACAAAGTAACCATATACTAGTAGAGAGCAGTAAAACACATCTTCAAGTTGCAATATATATGTATAATAATTTAATATAATAATAATAAATAATAGTAATAGT